TTTCTCTTGGAGCAAATAAACCCTTCTCTGTCAATGTACCAGCAGAGGAAAAATTGCATCTGACACCTTCATTTGATGGCTGTTGTTCCACAGAGCACGAGACAAGCTCAGCTCTCTGTGTGGCTTAAAATCTGGGGAGGTGGAGGTGGGGAAGGAGAGCTCCCTTGTATCTCCACATGACGTGCTCCCCTGCCTCACAGAACATCAGGGTCTGGAGCTCATCCTCCCTGCAAGACCATGCCCACATCTCACCCACAACCTGGCACCACTTGTCTGAGAGCACAGAGATCCCATTCCCTGCTCACACCATTTCCTCTCCCTAGAAGACACTTGCTGGAGAAGCAGCAGGATTACCACATTTCAGCCACAGTCCTGCTTCTGTGGGGAAGTCACATAAACCTATGGAAATGTCCCCCAAACTGCTGTCCTGAGCAGCTACACCCTTCATCAGCATTGAGGCCTGCCAGGCCAAGCTTTGTGTGTAGCTTTTCCTGGTATTCCAGGGGTATTATTTAGACAACCCTCTCCTCTCTAGGGTTTCCAAAGAAGCTGTTCCATCTTTAGAAACCAAGCAGCAATGCAGACCCTGTCATGGAGCTGCCCTGTGTCCTCCATGGCTTCACCAAAGCTGTGGAAGAGAAACTCAGATGGAAATACATTTGCTGCTCCTTCAAAGCTTTCCTCTGCCCATCCCAGTGCTCTGCTTTGCTCCCCCACTTCTCATCATCCTCTCCTCAAACTGAGCAGTGACACTGCACACCAGGGCTCGTCTCAGGGTTGTGGTGCTATGGAGGGATGGGACACGGAGCAGGGCAGCAACAGCCTCACACTGTCACCACTGCATTTCCATCTCCTGTGCCCTCTGCACAAAGAGGGCTCCGGGCTGGGTGAGCCTCAGGGAGATGCCAGGCTGGGACTGGCACTTTCAGGTGTTTTGGGAAGCTGCTCCCCTCGTGGTGGGCTCTGAAGGAGCCCAGCCTGCCACTCTCCAAGGAGCTTCACAGGCTTTAAGGACCAGATAAATAAAAACAAAGCCCTTATCAGCGCCCCACACAATGGCCCTTTCTGCTTGACCGGTGTCAAGCTGGCTCCAGCGAGGCTGTAGATGACACAGAAATGAAGTGGTGGCAAACACAGGCCAGAGCCAAGCTGCAGCCAGCATGGCAGGAGATAAGAGCAGCGCGGGGGATGTGGGCTCTGGCACAGAGGGGCCAGGAGCAGGCAAAGCCACAAAGTTAAAACCAAGACAATGGGACTGGATGGATGGTCCTGTCCTTTCAGTGCAAATTTGGATCTGCTCCATCCTGGGACATCTGGGCCCAAGAGATGCCTGTTCCTGGCCAGCAAACCACCAGAGCCTGTGGCTCACTGAGCATCAGGAGTGAAACACTGCTGAGCCGCAGGGCTGGGCTGGCCAGGGGCTGCTGCCAGCAACCACCAGGCAGAGCTGGGGCAGGTCAAACCCAGTTTGCTGGGAGCATGGTGCTACTGGAAACAGCAGTCCTGACCTGTGTGCCCTTTCTTCCCGAGGAGGGCTCACAGATCTCAATGCCTTCATTATGCAGGCAGTGACTTGGGGGCATGGAGAGTGCCTTAGGGCAGCCAGGCTGGATCTCCTGCCACATCCCAAGAGCTCTCTTTCACTGGAGTGAGCTCTTCCTAGGCTGAAGCAGGGCAGCCATAGCCACACTGGTACCAGCATGACTTGGTAACTGGTGAGGACATCTCCCTAGGGCGAGAGACTGGGTCCTGGCCCTGCTTCCAGGACCACATACATATTTTATTGCTGGGAAGGGAAACCCCAGCTATAACCCAATTTGCAGGCACATATCTTCCTCCTACAGCTACTCCCAAGTCTTTTGGGGCATTCCTGACCTAGCTGGCATATTTTCAGTTTCCCAGAGAACACGTAAAATGGCAAATCCCTCCAGGATGGGAGCAAAGCTGTGCTTTGTTTTCAGATGCCAATTGGATTTCAGCATAAAGGAAAGGCTCTTCCCCAGAGGTGCTGGCACTGCCCAGGCTCCCCAGGGGATGGGCACAGCCCCAAACCTGCCAGAGCTCCAGGAGCGTTGGGACAGCACTGCCAGGGGTGCCCAGGTGGGGCTCTTGGGGGGTCTGTGCAGGGATGGGGCTGGGCTGGGGGGTCCTGTGGGTCCCTCCCACCTCAGGATATTCCATGATTCTATGAGGCTGCAGCCTTGACAAACCCTGAATAGGAGTCTCTGAATAGTGAAACTCTCGTGATCCCAAACTCTGGCATTTCCAGGTTTTGAGGTATCCATGCAGTGAAAGCTTTGGCTTGTAGGAGTGGAAACACATCTCAGCTTTGCCAAGGATATCTGACTGCAGCACGATTCCCTGGGACACTTTGTGGATGTGGTTTAGAGCTGGGCTTGGAATATGGGAAGTGCCAGGAGGGAGCAAAGGCACTTTGGTAACAACACCTTGTGGCAGCAGCTCTCTCCACAGAGAGCAGGCACAGACTTTCCCAGGCATTGTCCTGGGGAAGACTGTGAGAAAGTCAGAGAAAAGAATGAGAAACAATTCTTATCTCCACTTGCTGCACCTGCTGTTGTGTGAATGTGGAATGTGTCATGGAGATTTGTTTACCAAAGGGTGATTTCTCAATTGGACACTGGATGGTGTTTGGATTCAGGGACCAATTAGATCAAACTGTATCGGACTGTCTGTAAGGCCAGGGGGTTCTTAATAAGTACAGTGTAATAAAGAGATTGATCAGCTTTCTGCAATCATGGAGTCAATGCTAATTATTTCCCAGCCAGGGATGTTGTGCTATGGCACTGGGGTTGGGCTGGGGACAAACCTACCCATCCTCAGGTATTGTAACACTTTGGGGGGTACAGGTATTGTAAAACCTTTGGGGGTTGTGTGCAGGTATTTTAACATCTTTCAGGGTGGACAGGAATTTTAACATCTTTTGAGGGTGTACAGGTATTGTAGCACCTTTGGGGATGTGTATACAGGAATTTGGGGGGGGTACATGAATTTCAACATCTTTTAAGGGTGTGTAGATATTGTAAAACCTTTGGGGTTGTGTATGCAGGTATTTTAACATCTTTCAGGGGTGTAGAGGTATTGTAGCAGCTTTGGAGACGTGTATACAGGAATTTTAACACCTTTTGGGGTTGTACAGGACTTTTAACATCTTTTGGGGGTGAGAAAATATTGTAGCACCTTTGGGGATGTGTATTCAGGAATTTTAACATCTTCTGGGGATGTACAGGAATTATAACATCTTTTGGAGGCGTGCCAGTATTGTAGCACATTTGGAGATATGTGTACAGGTATTGTAGCACATTTGGAGATGTGTATACAGGAATTTTAACATCTTTTGGAGGTGTACAGGAATTTTAACGTATTTTGGGGGCGTACAGGTATTGTGGATGTGTGTATGGGAATTTTAACATCTTTGGGGGTGTGCAGGTATTGTAGCACCTTTAGGGATGTGTGTACAGGTATTGTAGCGCCTTTGGAGACGTGTATACAGGAATTCAAACATCTTTTGGAGGTGCACAGGAATTTTAACATCTTTTTGGGGTGCAAATATTGTAGCACCTTTGGAGACGTGTATACAGGAGTTTTAACATCTTTTGGAGGTGTACAGGACTTTTAACATCTTTTGGGGGTGCAAATATTGTAGCACCTTTGGAGACATGTATACAGGAGTTTTAACATATTTTGGGGGTGTACAGGTATTGTAGCACCTTTGGAGATGTGTGTACAGGAATTTTAACCCCTTTGGGATTGCGTACAGGTATTG